TATGTATATTTATTATTTTAATAAAAAATTATGATATTCAAACTCTCGACTTCAATTAAAAGACGAGTTTTAGACTGTCCCAAACTATCCGCTCCGCATGCTAATTTATACATGAAAAGTTGCGTCAATTTAACTGTAAATCAGCTCTCATTAAAACTTGAACCTAAAACAACTGTTCTAATAAGCGAGAAGTGAAAAAATACGCATGAATCTAAACTAATTACTTTAGCAAATATAAAACCAGTAACTTGCATTGACAGAACAGTGACAAAGCCGAACATGGGACAGAAATGATTTTGGAACGTTTCTTCGGCATCTTGGGTTTTCTGATTTTTTATAAAAATGTGCCTTGTGCGGGCGAAGAGGAATACACGTTTGTTAATAAAGTGCGGTTTCCATTTTCGCAGTTTTATGACCCGTTTATGGGGGTAAGTAACGATAGGCAACAGGTGGCTGTTAAATTAATACTCAATTTCAGCTGATCATAGCTTTTGATCTGAAGCTGGTACCATCGGAAATCGATGCAGATTTTGGATGGAATATGGAAGCAAACTACTTTTTACCTCAAAATGAGAGTGAATACACCTTTCCTCCAATCATACCATCAGAATCGGCAGAAAGGGGCTTCTTTGAGCGAAGCATGCTTTATCGGATGGTGGAAGTAAAATTGGAACCGTAAGTGATTTTTGTAACTGCTAGACTAATTCTATTTTGTAAATTGTGACAGTTTTAGCAAAAACTATGGAGGAAAAAACTGCTTTCTAAAAATAATTTGCGAACTATCTTGTTACACAACCAAAGACACCGATGTTCTGGGAGACATATTCCATATTTTATTGAGGTAAACTAATAATTAAATGCTAGAACTTACCTAATGCAATGGCGAATGTATGTTGGGCAATTTTAGCCCCAGCTCCTCTGTGAACAAAAACCTTCCCTCCAAGTATACCAATGCCGAGGCTTATGGAAGACGAAACCACCACTGCAAGAAGTATTTGAAGAAATGTCCTGTAGATCTAGTAGCGGTATTTAGCGTGCTTGGAGAGCTTCTAGACAGTCAATTTACCTAGGAAATTGTTAATTATTAATCAGAAAATAAAAGTCAATCGCAAAATAACTTACATGATTTGGTGAAGGCGCATTTTCTCCACATGGTGGAGTACGGCGGTATCAGGTACCTCACTTACTTTCGAATGATACAAATGAGATATTCAACTTTACCAAGGATTTTCTGTTCTAAATCTAGTTGCACTGCAAGATAGGTTGCTCTCAGCTGATCAGGTTTGAGAATCACATGGACCGCTGGGGTGCTGGCAAATAGTCTTAAAAGTTCTGAAGAAGTTAATCCTCGATGTCTTAAATATCATCTAAGGATCACTTCCCCAAAACCTGCAAGATTTTGAAGAAAGAAAAAATTTGCAATTAAGTCCGTCCGGTATAGATTGAAGAGCCGATGAATGACACCAAATCTCAACGTGAGACACGTAGGACATTGGCGATTTAAAACGTCTATGTCCTACAATGGCTACAC